AAAAAGTAAATCAGAGCTAAAAAAGTGCAAAAACGCAGGCAAATTTGCCTGCGTTGGTCTACATATTAAGGGATAAAATTACAAAATTAAAATTTTTGTCCCACTGCCCCCTTTTGCTATGAGGGTCCCCATATGAAGAAGTGCTTTCGTGAAGCCTTAAATCCTATAATGCAGCAATTAAAACATAATACTTGTCCTACTTACATTGTAAATTTAATTGGGTAAATAATAATTATAATATTTTTTATGGAATTATTATTTATTAATAATTTAAATTAATAAATTTATTATTTTAGTGAATCATGGTTGTCAATTTTTTACTTCATCGTTGTTAAAGTTTTAATTGCAAATATTAAAAAAACATTTATGCACTCTAAAGCTCGCAAGTCTCGATACATGTGTTACCTAATACAATATGGGTTGAATCAACAATCAAACCCCTCATTAAAGTTTATACTATTACCTGTTGCTACTTGTTGGAATACATGGTTTCAAATGGTGTTTTATATTTGTGACTATTTAGAATACATTAAAGAATTCTATAAGGAAGAGCTAAAAATTGAATAATCCGAAGCTGTTAAAAAAATAATGGATATTTTTAACAACTTCAAAGAAAGTAGGCAAGTTTAACCTTTATTCGGCATTATACTGAAAAGTTTATTTTGATCTTAATTTTTTTTAGCAAGAAACTGAACCTGTGATTCTATTTGTTGAAAATAGAATTCAACAGCTTGAAATTTATTTGCAACATGGAAAATCTAGCACAGATTTTGGGGATGATATTAACTTTTATATTACGAATCTTGGAGCAAATCTGCTTATTTTTAATGAAGTATTTCAACAAGCTTTTGCCACCACATATTTAAAGTTTAATGATCACTTTTTGCAGCATCCTTCCCGTTCTCTTTTTATTGCCATACAAGTTTTTGACTCTGGTGATTATGCACTTACAAAAGCTGGCAAAACTCAAGGACCTGTTGGTGTTCAACACCCATCACCTGATAATATTCCTCATGCAACTGCTATCGCTGCAACTACTCATAATTCTTCACCTGTAAAGGAGAGTTCCTTAGTACATGAAGCGGAACTGAATGATGAAAAAACTGTGGATTCTGACGCACAACCAGCTGATCTAAATACTACATCTACTCCTTCTACGTCTATTCCCGACACTTCTAATCCTACACCTGCACCTACATCTACACCTACATCTACACCTGCACCAAATACTTCTTCGAATGCCGATAACTCATGATAAAAAGCTTTTTTCCATGGCTGTCTTTTTTTTTTTCTTTTTTTCGTTCGTATATAAATTTTTTTATTTTGTTTACAATTATAAACTAGTTACACTAAAGCAGCAAAAATTGTTGAGGTTCCAATGTCTACGGCTAATAACTGATAATGGTTTATGGAAGTCATGCTACTGTGCCAATTAGAATCATTGGGTAAAATTAACTGTAGGAGTTTTACAAAAAAAGCAATAAGAAAAAACAAAAAACAGATTCTATTCAACTAAACGAAAATCTACTGCGATCATGCAATCTATTAAAAGCATGTACTGCAGGGGAAGTTTATATTTATTTTAATGGTTTGTTATTAAATATTGTCACGGATAATTACGAAAAATCGACAATTCGCTAAATTATGAATAATGATAATTTATTTTTTTTAATTAAAAAAAAAAATTATAATAAATTCATAAATCTAATCGTAATCTTAATTATCATGAAAATTTACTTGCTAATTACAGGTTATTGATGAGTGTGATTCTATCGCATTTATACGTATATTTCATGCTGAACGTTTTGCTTAAAAGCAAAAGAATGATTGTAGTAAAAATTGAAAAATCATTAACAAATGAAAAATTTACTAATCTAATCATAATCAGCGCACAATCTTTTACGTATTACTAAAATAAAAATTCGAAAGAATTGACTAATCAAATCGAACAGCGATTATTAATATATCACGTGGACGTGGTAATAATACTGTTGTACGTACGTACCAGGGACCCGGAAAATTTTGGT